ACAAGTAATCCTCATGTTGCACACTATAATCAAGAAATGTGCATGTTTGTGATAAGAAAGTGAGCATGTGCGAGTCAAACGGATGAACGCAAGGAAAACATTTACATCTAAATACTTGTAAATGCTCATATGACAGATTTTTCCCAAATAGCTTCATGAACGAAGATAAATTTTGAAGAACCTGAGTAGGCATCTGATTGATTCAATACATAGTCATCGCCACAACATAGGACCAAAATTTCAAAGGTAATGAGGCTTGAGCTAATAACATCAGTGTCATTTTGATGATGTGTCGGTACTTACGTTCAACAACACCATTTTGTTGAAAAATGTGAGGGAACGCGAGTAAATGTCAGATTCCTTCCTCTTGAAGCACCTTGGAGAATGGTCGAAATTCACTGCCCCAATCACTTTGAACCTCCTTAATTTCCTTGCCAAATTGCACCCGAACCATCCGCTGAAACAATCGAAAAGCATACAAAGATTGGGTTTTTTCTTTCAACAAATAAACCCAAAAGTACCTTGTATAAGCATCAACAAATGATATATAATAATGACACCCATTGGATGTAACTTGCGAATGACCCTATAAAGCAGTGAAAACTAAGTGAAAGGGTTTGGCATAAATGGTGTGAAAAAAGGAAAGAAAAAGGCAAAGCATGACTCTTCCCATATTGACAGGTAGAACAAATCGTGATATCATTAGTTAAGGTGCCATCACCATTACAATTTCTACAATCAACACGTATAGTATCACGAATAGGTTACCCTAAACGTCTATGCCATAAGCCAACATCAACAACACCCCGAGCAACATTACATTTAACACGAATATTATTATGCAAAAAAAGGAGAATCAAACTCATAAAGTCCATTCTTCGTACTTTCTTCAAGTAAGATCGCCTTTGTCTCCTTATCCCGAATTACGCATCTATGAGCATCGAATTCAAGAAACATGCGACAAACTTTAGCAATAGTAGAATTTCTTGAAATATGTGGAACATAAAGAATATTATTTAAATGTAAAGTGCGAGTAGAAGTAATGAAACTAGATTGACCAATTGTAGAGATTCACAAACCATTACCATCACCAAAGACAAGCTTACTCGTTCCAGTGTATTCCTCACCACCAATAACATTTGAAGGTTCAGAAGTTACGAGATGTATGGCACCATAAACCATTTCCCAGTTGATTTCAATACACCTTATGTTAGGACCATCGACGCACCCCACGGCGCAGTGGAAACAAATCTAGACTGTCTTACCAGCGATCCAAGTACGCAAAACCAAAATCAGGAGGAAATGATGCGAATACTTACAATGGATTTCTTGAAAAACAACAAAGACAATAACAACAAGTGGTGATCACGAACGGTTCGAAACGTAAGCCTCCATGAAAACACGTCTCAACCTCTACTTAATTCGCCCGATTGAGAGCAAAATTTACTTTTCCCAAAATCAGTTTTGAAAAAAACGGTTGAAAAACTCGGCTGCTAAACCTTACCTAACTTAAATATATCAGTTACCCTAACTTATTAGGGATTTTTAAGTTATTTTGAATTAATAAAAATCTTATTTAATTAATTCAAATTAAATATACATTAAAGACTTATAATCTGAATTACAATCTTTAATGTTTATTTAAAATATTATTTAATTATTCCGAATTAATTATCAATTAAAAGAGTTATAATCAAAATTACATTATTTTAATGTTTACTTACTATATTCGGGATAATTAAAATCATATGTATATCAAATATACATATATTAACTCTAGATATATTTTTGTAACATACAACAAATTGTACATCTTTGCTTATTTCAATCCTAGGGTGTGACCCTGTATGTTCTTGTAACGTTAGTAGTAATTATTAGAACAATTCTAATATTACATACAATGAGTGACATCTAGCAATATATCATTGTCACCTAAGTTACAAGAAATTATGATTCAAAATATCATCTTCGTGATTAACTCTTTTATGTATTACATACTTTTGTCCTTTATATCTAGAATAGGTACAAGTCTTAGAATAGTCACACTTGTATAGTCCACCTATTATTTCTTGATATCTAGAGTAGACTATAATTAACGAATAATTTGTGATATAAATTATCAACTTATTCGAGCATGGCCATGTATTTCTAGTCTCAATCAATCAAGTGGCATGTGATATATTTCCTATTATGTAGGAAGGATAAATCATATCTTAATCTTACACACCCTACTACATATATTGAGATATATTCAATAACAGTCTTTATAGTGCAACCAGTTACGGAACATGTTTAACTGTATCAAAACATACAACAATATATGTTGGGATGACATTGATCTCAAGTCTGAGGATCATACATATAGTCATCACCATGAGCAATGTTATGACCGTTACATAATAATCCAAGACATATGCTCATGATGAGTCAATTCAATACATTGTTCTCTAACAATATAATCATGTATCAATTCTGACATCTCTATGTCAATGAAAACTCGTTGTCATCAATCAATAACATATTAGTCTTAAGCGTATTATTATTGTCCATGCTCATAATAATACTTGACTATGGATCTTTTAATAATAGTACTATATGGACTTTATTATCTTTCTATTTATGATAAACACATACATATAACTGAAAATAATAATGGCAATGCCTTTATTCAATAAAATTGGTAAATAAATGTATTATTACAATCATCATATGATTGGTCTTTGGGTATACTCTAACAATATCCCACAAGCACTAAGACCAATCATTCACATATCTAATACTGAGTGACTCAGTGTGACGATTATGCCTCTGCTGTGTAAGAGGCTTCGTCAATGGATCAGCAATGTTGTCATCCATCTGTACTCTGCATATTTCAACATCTCTTCAATCTATAATCTCTCGAATGAGATGAAAGCACCTAAGAATATGTTTGGATCATTGATGAGATCTAGGTTCCTTTGCTTGTGCAATGGCTCCATTATTGTCGCAACGGAGTTCTACAGCATCTGATATGCTGGGAATAACCCTTAATTCCAATATGAACTTCTTGATCCAAACAACCTCTTTTATTGCTTTACTAGCTACAATGTATTCAGCCTATGTTACAGAATCAATTATTGTGTCTTGCTTCGAACTTTTCCAGCTCACAACACCTCTATTAAGACAAAACACAAAACCCAATTGCGATCGTGAGTCATCCTTGTCAGTTTGGAAGCTGGCATCAGAGCAACCATGGCATAGGAGTTGTCGCACCATGCTCCATAATGACTACAACCACAAGAAAATAATTGAGCAGAGGGAACACAAGGTCGTATTGGAAGTAGGGATGGCAACGGGGATTTAAACACGTCCTCGTTTAAAAAACCCATACCCGTCCCTGGTAAAAAACCGCGGGGATTTAAATGGGGATCCTCATTGGGTAATCGGGGAAACCGCGGGGAAACAGGTATCCCCGTTTAGCATAAACAATTATTTAAACAGGTATCGGGCCGGGTATATATATATTTAAATTAAATATATAAATATTATATATATTTTTTAATTTAAATTAAATTTATTAATATTATATATATATATATATATATAATTATTTTTAATATTTATCGGGCCGGGTATCGGGCCAGGTAATCGGGGCGGGGATTACCAAACCCGTCCTCGTCCCGTTTAGCATAAACATTTTTCCCCGTCCCTGTTTATCATCCCCGAACCCGACCCGTTTAATTCGGTTTTTGGTTTTTCCCATCGGGTTCAAGTTTTTTTGCCATCCCTAATTGAAAGAAGAGTGATCATCAGGTGAAGCATGTTGAAAATTTTGGTCAAACCAGTGCCAACATCTATCGAACAAGTGACAAATATTGCCACAAAGTTGGCACTGGATCCTTGTCCTTCCATGACCACAGCCTCCCTGATGCAATAAGGAAGAAATAGGTCTCGAACCATAAGATTGAAGATTCTCGTGCACAGAATGATCAATGACCGAAAGTTTAGCAACATTAATGTTGATTAAGAGATATCATCCTTTTCAAACCAACGTTGATGGATTTCAACATCAACAAAAACTAAAATAACCCCATCCAGAGAAAACGGCTTGCGACTGGCAGTTATCACCACGATGAACGATCGATATTCAGACGGGACACCATTCAAGATAGTAGTCACTTACTCAAACTCAAAGACCGAACTACCACAAGAGGCAAGTGAATTGCATATTTCCTTAACCTAAGAGATGAATGTTCGCATGCTCAGCTCGTCCTTACGTATGGGCTTTAGGTGATACTAAAGGTTCATCATTGTTGTTGTAGACTTACTCGCAAAAAAATTAGTCGGTATGTACCAGACCTATTCCATTGTATCAGCCCCAACTAAATGAGGGAGAATTGGCGAAGTTATCATGGATAAAAGCCAGGAAGCCAAAACACTATCTTGTGCCACAAAGAGTTCGTACACCCATTAGCAGTAACCGAGCCATCCTCTAGAGTCACAGTTATAAGCGACGGAGTAACTTCACTAGTGAAAAGCTTCTTAAGGTGGTGGCTCCTCACAGCAAGAAGAACTTGTTGTTTCCACAACAAGTAATTATGCTCATCCAAAACGACACTTAGACGCTTATTGGTGAAAGTCTTTTGAATGACTGCCACTGATAACCCATCCTGATCACCCATAGAAAATAGAAACAAAGAATAACGATTGGCACAATAAGGAAGAATAAGTCCCAACAAGTCCCAAGAATCTTGATACCATGTTCAGCAAACAATTTTGTTTAATTGAACAAAATGCCTTGTATTTCTTATTTACAAACCACATATATATGGACAATACAAAAACCATAGATTCTTCTAAACCAATGCACTAGCCATGCTCATACGATTATAACAAACCTCCTATAACCATATGCCAGCTCAGCTACTATTGTGCAAGCATATCCATCGTCAATGATTAACGCAGAACTAGAGCTAATCAAACAAATGAAGATCATCAAAAGAAGGCCAAAGCAATGAAACCAAAATAAAAAATATATATATTGTAGTATTCTTTAGTTAAAATAAAAAGGAGATAATTTGGGAGAATAATCATTAGATAAAAGATAAAAAAAATCAACGACTAGGATGAAATTTTGATAATTAGTTAAGGTGAAAAAGGAGAACAAGAATAACCACATTTGCAAATGTATATATCGTTCATTTGAAACTTTTTTTTTGCACGACAGGATGAATTTATAGAATAATTGAATAAATCCTACCCTGATTGTATGCCTCATTAAAAACTTCCCTATTCTTAAATAGAAGAAAAGAGTACATACAACCAGGACAATAAAAGTTACACAAAAAGCCTAGGGCAATTACAAAAACTAAGTTTTAATTTATTGAATTAATCTTGTTCCCCATCTGTTGTAATCGCCATGATCATAAGCATCCTCCATCTCACTTGACATGCAAATCTTTGATCTTTCTCTAGCTTTGTTACAACACCTCTAATGGCTGTTTAGTTGTTAATAAAAGTAAGATGATAGTTTCTATTATATTTATATACGATTAAGTCTAATCCAATATGGATTAAAAAAAATTACTATTAATTAGTAGAAACCGAGTTTTGATTTCCAGATCTTAAATTACTATATTAACCAGGAGTTTATTTGCATAATTTACCCGATTTAAAACTATAAAATTACTTGTTTTGTAAAAACAATATGTTTATAAAAATCAAGGTCTGTTGGTATAAAAAATCACAAATGGACATACTGGAATGCTGTAAAAGCTTATCGGGAAGTGGATTTTAATAAGCATATAAATTGTTTAAGACGTGTTTTGCCTCAGTGTGCTCAAACACTAGAAGATGTCAGGTTTGAAAGATAGTCAAGATTACATTAACTTGGAGCAAGATATGGTTTCATGACGTCTAATAGTGCAGAATCAATCAATGCTCTAAGTCGTCATTCCCGAAAATTATCCATTACTATGTTAATGGAGTTTTTTCGAGCCTCTATTCAACAGTGGTACTACAAGAAAGGAAACCATGTAGGTATTATTTCTTTAAATTCGTAACTTATCATATATTTTACTAAGTATTAATTATTTAAATTTACAGGAACATTGGAACATCGTGTTACACCATGGACTGAAAAAAAGATAACAAAACGTGTTGTGAAGTCAACGTCATGGAGAGTTGAACCATGTTCAAACACTTTGTTTGAAGTACTGGATAATAACTTAAATGGGTTTGTCGATCTAAATGCAAAGACGTGTAGTTGTATGAAATAACAAACATCTGGTTATCCGTGTGGCCATGTTATAAAAGTTGCTATTCATCTAAACCAAGATGATTCAAGCGCATACGCTATGGATTGCTACACTACAGAAGTATATCGACAGACTTATGCCAAGATTATCTACCCTATTCCACATCCTTCTGAGTGGGACATACCAGGTGACTTACAAACAATTTTGCCACCAGCCATGGACAGAAGGCTACCTGGCCGACCAAAAAGTCACGATCATATACCGTCTAAGGGTGAAGAGAAGAAGAGATCGACATGTAGTCGGTGCAAGGAAAGTGGTCATACAAGGTTGACATGTAGATCACCAGTGCCATCACAATCATCTTTTCCTCTACCAAAATATGGATCCTCATCAAAATCCAAAGCTCATATAGTGTTAAGCAAAAGGCAATCAAAATCGCAATCAAAATCAAAATCCCAATAACAACCGGCTTCACCTTTTGGGACTATTAACTTAGGTGATTTTTAAATGCAAACGTTGTATTATGTGTATTTTATGTGTAAACTTTTAACATTTTCATTTAGGCATGTATTAGTAACTTGAGTTTGAACATTGCTATGATCTGTTCAGTTATTATCACTTATTACACATTCATTTGAATATCGCAACGCGAATTTGACTATTATGTGTATTTTATGTGTAAACTTTTAACATTTTCAGTTAGGCATGTATTAGTAACTTGAGTTTGAACATTGCTATGATCTGTTCAGTTGTTATCACTTATTACACATTCATTTGAATATCGCAACGCGAATTTGACTATCGCAACGCGAATTTGACTATCGCAACGCGAATTTGACTATCGCAACGCGAATTTGACTATCACAACGTGAATTTGATTATCGCAATGGGAATTTGACTATCGCAACGAGAAAATCGCAAAGTGTATTAGACTATCGCAACGCGAATTAACTTTTGCCTTCAACAGGTCTTTTGCCTTCAATATGATGCAGATTGAAATCAACAAATCAACTTTTACATTTCAATCAATTAAACAAGCACAAATAAGAATTATTTACACATCAATTAAACAAATCAACTTTTACAAATCAACTTTTACAAATCAATTAAACAAGCAAAAATAATAATTCTTATTTTCCTCATCAATTAAACAAATCAGACTTTTAAGAATCAATTAAACAATCAAAAAAAGTGTACCCCAGACAGTTGTATATGCACCATACATCAATTTCACACAGCTCACTTCAGGATTAACCTGCAGAAACCAAACATTTGCTCAAACAACACTTTCTACACATCTAAAACCAACAAACAACAAATTATTGAATTATAGGTACTTAACAACACTTGCATTTGACTTACTAATTGTTTATGGATACTTTCATAACGCGGATGCAGGTAGGCAGCGTCTCGCATATATCGCTCTAGCCATAAAATACTGAAACCACAAGCGTACTACACCTCTATCTCTATCGGTGGGAGGTAGAAACTGTGTACTTCATGTCATCAAACGCTCCAAGCACATGCATACGAGAGGACCAAAATCCCCTCTGGCTTCCTGCATTTGTTTTAACGCGGTCTCGTCTCTGATAACTATAACATTGAACTTCTTTGGATTCTTGTTTCCAGAATAAGTCCAATAATTAATCGCATCCAAGAATTTAGCCAAATGAGAGATCCATCCCTTAATAATATCTCTCAAATCAGAAAATGATATGTAATTTATCATGTTGTCATATACTATTATCTTCAGGGATGGGAGCTGAAGCTCGACGAGAAGCCAATGATTACGTTTCAAAACAGGGATAAACACCTGCAATCATAAGTAATGATTCAATTGCGCACTTATTTATGAACACCTTTAAAATATTTAAAAAATAAATACTAACCTTATTGACCTCCCACCATGCAGGATAAAGTTTAGCTTGTCCATTAACCAACACATATGATTCATTTCGTTGATTCTTCAAGTGAGCTACGTGAAAAGACGTCAACATAATTGTATATCACATATTTTTCTATTTTTCCTCATTTTACCTATTATTAGAAGGCGTGACACCCATGCATCAATATGATGTTTTACAAAAAAAAAGACTTATATTAGTGAATTACATAAATTTAAAAAAAATTAATCAAAATGAAATATAAGAAAAATATAAGACTTACCCCCCATCGAAATAGCCATTGTCTTCAACCCCTAATAACACACCCCACCAAGACCGATCAAGCAACAAATGCATATCATCGTTGAGTTTGTATATGTCAGTTTAACACCCCTGGCTCCGCTCATGTAGATAAAAATCAAATGCGGTCTTAGCCCAAAGGGTATTATCCAGAATTGTTTCCGGTAGTTTTCTCCTCTCCACTTCATCTGCCGGAATGGTACTGGCCGGTAACTCATATGAAATCCAACACTCATCCATCATGTCCGGTACGTGAGAGGGTTTCTCAATAATTCGACATATTACGCCGTGTGAATCGGGCTCTTGAATGGTGGGAGGGACCTCTTCAACGATGACAGGGGCCTCTTGAACTGCGGGAGGGGACTCTTGAGGGATGATAGGGGCCTCTTGAACGATAGGAGAGGCCTCTTGAACGATAACAAGTGAGTCGGGCTTCTTCTTACGGAGTCTTCGCACTATTGGGGTAAACGGAGACGTAATGGCACGTGCACACCGTCTGATGTGTGAACCCCGTCGTGCAAGAAAAACCCAACATAAAGCATCCACCTTATCGGACCGCTAAAAATAAATTAATACATAAATCAGTAAATAAACAGACATAATATTAAACAGTGAAAACAAAGACAAATATGTTTCAAACTTGCACGGTATTCACCCAAGTCATTATTCTATCATAGTTCACAAAATGCATCAGATAACATTCCAGAAGTAAGCACTTATATAAACATTTAAAATGACAACATATAGGTTTAGTGCATGTTCAAGGACAACATAAAGAGTAGTAGTTTATTCTTGAAACTTAAATTTGCAACACTGTGAAGTTAGTATTTGTCTTTGTCTTTTGGTTGAAGTAATGCAGTCCATTCAAGTTTCAATTTGCAGAAGAAGAATAGTTTCTGAAACTTAAAATCGCAACACGAAACTTAAAATCGCAACGCGAAAATGATTATCGCAACGCGGAAATGACTATCGCAACGCGAAAATGACTATCGCAACGCGAATTTGACTATCATAACAAGATAATCGCAATGCGAAATAAAAATGCAACGAGAAAATCGCAACGCGAAACCAAAATCGCAACGCGAAACTAAATTCGCGTTGCGATTTTCATTTTCGCATTGCGATTTTCACGTTGTGATTTTTATTTCGCATTGCGATTATCCCGTTGCAATAGTCATTTCCGCGTTGCGATAGTCATTTTCGCGTTGCGATTTTAAGTTTCGTGTTACGACTATTATTCTTCTGCAAATTGAAACTTGAATGGATTGCATTACTTCAACCAAAAGACAAAACAAAGATAAATACTAACTTCACAGGGTTATTTTAGAACTGTTTAGCAGTATTGGTAGCAACTGAATGAATTTACTAAGCAATCTAAGTGAAATGGTTAATCTAAGTGAAATTACGAGTAAATCAAGTTAAATATGAAAAATCTTAAACTTACCTCGTTGCGTAGAGTATGAACCTCATTCTGCAACGATGCTACAATCTCACATAGAGCCGCCACCTCACCACATAAAGTAGATACCTCATTACGCCATGCACCATTGTCATCGCGTAAAGTACCGACCTCCTCACGCAAGGCATTGACCTCATCACGTAACTCCCCTA